TATAGTGAGAGAGACTACCTATATACTGTATATATATATTCCGTATAGCTGTATCTGTGCTATCAAACTACAAAGTTTTATTTATTTATTTATTTATTTATTTATTTATTTATTTATGGCTGAATGTGATGGAATAGACTGCTTTCTGAGCTGGAGGGCGATGGGGTGTGAAGCACCTTTTTTCCATTTAAAGTGACTTCAGAAAAACAAGTTAATCTGAGACACACCTAAGAGAAGGGGTGCAAGAGTGGCTTGTGGAGTTACAATAAGGAGGAATTCAAACCAAAGCATTGCAGTTCTCTCTTTATACAGACCCCAACTGTGTACAGGTTCACACATAACAATAAAGGCAAATTAAATGAAGTCTGATAATCTGTTCAGCAGCTGATGAAGTTTAACCTGGTAAACTCAGAAAATGAGTGACATCTCAGCTCAACTGTCTGAAGAGACAGTTTATAGTGTTTGCACCAGGGTCAATGTAAACTCTCATTTTGGATCAAGCTGCTGTAGGTAAGCAGCAAATTAGAAAAGACTTCTACAAACAGCCTCAGCACCTGTTAATCTTCTGTCACCATCCAGACTATTTACTGGTGAGCAAAATTGTACTTTTCCTACCCCACTTTTTGTTTTGTAAACATCATGTCATGAATACCTTGCTGAGCTGCACTTATCACATACACACACACAGACATTCATGTTTTACTCTGAGAAAACAGTTACACAACCTTATGTCTGTAAATCTAGTCTCTTTCACACACACACGGGTCTTTTCCCTGGTTGGAAGACACATTTCTTATATCATTCTCACCATCAGCTCCCTTTGTTCTTCCAGGTTTTTGAGAAATGATGAAAACTCTTGTAAAGATTCATCTGTAGAACAACAACAAAAAAGATCAACTGACAAGAATGATGTTATTGATCTAAAATGGTGCATTTCTCTTCCCTTTCCCCACGGCTACAAAAACCTGGCACTGTGATTAAACGTAAACAGGTGAACATTTAGAACTGCTCTTAATAGTCTGGTAGAGAAAGAAAAGTAAACACAAATTTTAAGTGTGTGTCTATGAGGTGGTGATAAAACCAGTGTTTAGCTTTTCATTACACTTGGAGGCAAACCCATACTTACCAATGCATTTCTCATCATCCGTCTTTGCATCACCAATATACTCAAAATGAAACTCTCCCAGGCACTGGGCAAATTTTCGCTGCGCCATCCCAAGCTCTAAAACCAGATCAGAAGCATACAAAAAAATAACATTAATTGCAAGAAATTTCAACAATTGAAAAATAAATAATATCATCTACTGGAGTTAGAAATCCATTTTCAAGTGCACAAACTTAATTTACCAGTAATTTTTTCAATGATACTTTGCAAAGGGGTGATTTCTCAAAAAACACTTAAGCTGCCTTGAAAAAAAGACTTGTTGCATTTAAGTTGATCATATTGCAAACATCCTGTTTACTGTATTCGGGTACATCCTGTTAAGATTCAAACATCTGTGTACCACCGTGAAACACGCCACAGCTTCACATCTGCAACAAAACAGGGCAAAGCCTGCCTCCTAATAAGTCAAATGTTAAATCAGTGAAATGAAAACAAAAATAGTTTGTGATATAATGTCACAATGTGCATCTTCAGAAGATAAAACTACACACTACAGTACATGTAACATATCACAACTGTTGCTTATAACAGACAGGTTTAGCCAAAATTTTACAAAAAAAAAGTAATTTACCAAAACAATTTCAACTGGAACCTAAAATATTTGATATCTACTACTGATTAGTTTGGAACATGAAAGTTTTGTGTAATTTATTTACATTGTAAAATACAAAGTTACACTGGTGATACCAACAGAGCTGTATTTATCTAAATTCATTCCAATATAACCAAAACCAATGTTAATGTCTTCATAACCCATGAGAACAAAAACAAAACAATTAAATTTCTCTGCTGAAATTTCTTACCCACATTGAGGGGACAAAATTAGCTCGAACAGGAAGTATTCTGTTTGAACTAAACACATACACTCTGTTTTTATGAGCCTTTTTATTAGAAGGACGGCTCTTCTTAGACTTTTATTACACCAAATGCAATAACACTAATAATCCAAACACATAAAATTTGTTTATAAATGTTTTCCCTTTTTTTTTTTATAAATCTAATGCTAATATCTATTCATGACTACTTGTTTATTTCACCATTAAACTGTGTTTAAAGCCTCTGCAGCTGAGGCACCACTCATAGCTCAAACATGTTAATTATCTAATTTTTAATGTCTAATAATATTCACAGTTGGTTTCTCTTCAACGGAGTTATAATAATATATATAAACAATATACATTTAATGAACACTCAAGTAATCACAGACCTACAGGAAGTCATACAGTTTTTCAAAACAATGAAATACTTTCAGAATGACTCCATTACTTTGAAGTGTTTGCTCTTTGAAAAATCTCTCAAACATAGGAAAATGATTTATTTACAAACTCGTGTAAAATATCTTGTGAGGGAATCTGTTGAGATTGACTCTTAGCTACGATCCTATCAAACGTAAGCTCAGTATTTGTAAAACTGATTAAATTGTAGCTGTTTTTTTTGTGTTTTCTGAGGTCAGATGGCTGTGGCAGCCATCTTGAATGGCTAAACTTAGTTGTTGGTAAACATCTTTCCTGAAAGTTACATTAAAAGCCATCTAGTGGTTCATGAGATGTTTCGCTAACAGAGTTGACTCCAACAAATAAAAGCTAAATTTTAAACTAAGTTCTTGTGCATAGAGCTCAGAATATGCACTGAGGACGACTCTCAGTTCTCACCATTAACAATAATAAAATATGAAAAAATGTGACTTCAGGGTTGCACAATATAATAAAAAAATGATCGTGATAGTAGTTTAATATTGTGACATTATCAGTTGTGATAAACTCACATGTTCTGTTTTTACAATGTTCACAACACTTTCCATGTGGCAGCTGTGGGCAGTTACAGGAGTGGGCAGAAGGTCTTTTTGGCTGTCAGAGTAGTATGCAATGCAAAAAAATTAATATTATAATGCACAGCACAACTTTAATCTTAAACAAATAATACGATGATTATAATCAGGGAGTGTTAAAAGTCCAGGTAACTGGCAGAAATTTCAAAACAAAGGTTTGCCAAATATAAGCTTGGCAACTGTGATGGTTACTTTGCAAAGCAGACCTGTACATCCTGAATGTAGCAATTTTCTTTGAAGTGACCGTAAATCCAAATAGGATCTCAACCACACAGACAGCAAGAATCCAGGCGAGGGTGTGTGAGTCCATAAAAGGTGAGTCTGCTCAGTCTAAAATAATCCTTCATTTGGAGTTAGTGGTGAGACTGCAGGCAGCACACACAAGTCAAATATTCTTTGATAAATGAAATAAAGTTGAAGGCATGTTATCAAGCAGTAAATCAAGAGGAAATGATTGTGGTTATTTGAAAACCCAAACTGGTTGTGGTTTAGAGATATCTAACATACATCGTAACAGAAAGTAAAACCAAAATTAAACAAGGTACATACTTGAAAAACTGAGTTAGGAAATACTGAACTAAACTTGATCATTTATTTAGAAAATACTGTCGTGTTTATTTGTGCTTCTGTTACCTTAATTTGCTTAAATGACCTGCTTCTTAGAAACACATAACTTTGTATTTCCAAACCTCAAACACTTCATATTTTCAGTAGTGATTTAACCTGGTATTTTTAACATATTTGTATCATTATATCACCCTGCTGATAATGCTAAATGTTTAGGCCTTACACCACAAAATTATGATTGCTTTAAAATTCCACACTACATTCAAGCACCTTTCTATTGCTTTGTTCTGATTTTCTAAATTTAAACAATGATTTTAAAAGCTCTATAATTTACTTTAACTGCTGCAACTAAATAGTTGACTTTTTAAATGATTCACACTTGAACACTTCTGTAATCTGAGTTTTTCTGCTTGGAAGGAATCTACTTGTGGAAAACTGGGAATTAAGTGTACTATTTTTAAATACCTGCTTAACAGATTTTAACAAAACATATTGTTATATTGTGTGTGTGTATTGTTGCATTGTACTGCT